AGTGAGCTTCAGGAATGGTTAAGCTTTCAATATATATCTACTGGTAGAACTAAAGCTAAATGATGGTAAAAAGAGAGACAGTAAAGCATGTAATGCCTATATGCTCTAACAATGTAGCTGTAGTACATTCCCTCAGAGTGGTAGAGAATGGGAACAGTGTATCAAAATTTTTTGTATCCATTTTCAATATTCTAATTGACAGTGGTAGTTTTACTATAGTTATTCTAAGACTGTTGTATGTGTAAAGTGGGCTAAAGCAAATCAGTAATTATAGAATCTTTCAATTTTATCATCTCCTGTGTCCTTGAAAATCAAATATTCTAAGTGTGGAGGGAAAGGACATACAGATGTAATATAGAAGAGGTTAATTAAAAGCCCTGTAATGCTGTATTTGCATTGGAAAAATCAGTATGAGTTCAAGAGGTGCCATTTTTAAAAAAAGAAATGCATACTATGTATGTATAGACACACATACATATAAATATATATACATACATAAAATATACATATGTATGTATAAATATATACATATTTTATATGTGTATACATATATAACATATGTATATTTGTATACATATACATATGTAGGTATATTTTATATACATATGTATTTATATATAAATATTTATAGATATAAAATACCTAGTTCTATCCACTAGAAAGGCATAGAAACAATGACTATTCTAGTAGTACCTACCCCTCAGATTCTAGTCTTGAAATGCCATTTTCTATTTAAAAAAATAAAAGGACATCCTGGAGAAACTGCTGATTCCAGATCAGCAGCAGGAAATATACAAGATAAGCCTGGAATATCTTGTCATATCAGACAACAAGGAAGCTATCAAAGGCCCTGGGGTCACATCCAAAGGACTCAGAAACCAACCTGAAGATGGGACAATTTCAGCTGCAACAAAGGCAATAACTGCCATCGACTGAAACTCATCAAGTATGTTTCAGTCCCTGAGTTCATAATAATATTTGGCAAAAACACTAATTGCTTACCTTCTGAGGATGGCATTGCTTTTCCTCTGCGAACTCTACCACTGGGTAAACAAGTCATAGATGAAGAAAAGCATCTTCTTATGAATTTATTACCACTAATACAGGAAAAAAAATGATGCAGTATTGTCATTTTGCAACCTGCAATGTATTCATGTATCTTAGCCATTGTACACAATAGCAGCTAACATCAAGAAAAGAGCGAAACTCCAGCCATCTATGTGCTTCTGGATAAAAGAACACAGAACTGCCTGAAATCATGCCAACAGGATGGAACCTAGGTCTGATCCAGCTGCTAATTTGCAGGAAATGAAGAGGTCAAAGGGCCATGCTGAGCTGTAGTCTGAGGATGCAATTGACAAAATCCAGACTTTGAGAAACTCTCCAGGTCAATCAGCCTCAGTTCTTCAACAGATAAACTGCAAGGGAAAGAAAGAGATATAGACGGAAACTTTGGATTAAAAGAGGCCTAAAAACATATCAAATTTTTAAAAAATGGGCAAAACTAAACTTTAATGTCTAGGGATGCACACTTGGATGATTAAACCACTTAGAAATGCAAGGGTAGGGACTTCCCTGGTGGCGCAGTGGTTAGGGATCCGCCTGCCAATGCAGGGGACACGGGTTCGAGCCCTGGTCCGGGAAGATCCCACATACCGCAGAGCAACTAAGCCCGTGCACCACAACTACTGAGCCTGCGCTCTACAGCCCGAGAGCCACAACTACTGAGCCCGTGGGCCACAACTACTGAAGCCCGTGCGCCTAGAGCCCGTGCTCCGCAACAAGAGAAGCCACCGCAATGAGAAGCCCACACACCACAACGAAGAGTAGCCCCTACTCGCGGCAACTAGCGAAAGCGACGAAGACCCAACGCAGCCAAAAATAAATAAATAAATATTTTTTTTAATGCAAGGATAAAATTACTATAAAAGTCAGGTAAGTGGTTACTTTTGTGGGGAGGGGCTATGACTGGGATGGGGTACATGGAAGCGCCTCTGGGGTGGCTGCAGAGTTCTATGTTGTGACCGGGTGGTACGTACAAGGGTGTTTCCCTTGAGATAACTCACTAAGCCACAATTTTAATTTGTATGATTTTCTGCATCTGTAGTTTGTTTTACAATATAAAGGTTTTAAAAAATGAAAACATAAGCACCTACCTCACTGTGTGTTTGTGGATGTGTATACATATACACATCTATGAATATATGGCTTCTGGGAGCACCAACTACATAGTAGGTACTCACTAAATATGAGTTCCGGTCCCTGTTAATCCTGTCAAACACCCTTACCGGTGTGATTTCAGTGCCATGACTAACTTGTGTGACTAATCAAAAGTAGTGAATGCTTATTAAATGATTATTATGTGCCAGGCACTGTTCCCAGTATATCTAATCTAACTGACTCCTCATAACCCTATTATTATTATTCCCATTTTACAGAGATGAAAAGTGAGACTCAGAAAGGTTTTCCATGGCCACACAGAAGGTGAGAGTAGCCTGGTTTTGAACCCAGGCAGTCTGGCTCCCCAGTGGCTCTTACTATTTTCTATTGGTGCCCAGTGCCCCCATTTGTGATAATAACCCTCCACCCCCCTTATTGAGTGCCTGCCAATGTCTGTGCCATCACTTGACACTCATTACCTGAATCTCACAACAGTCCTAGAAGGTGCAGATGCTCGTTAGCCTGCATTTGACAGATGAGAACTCAGGCGTGAAGGAACTTGCCCAAAGTAAATGGCCGTGTCATGGGTTTGAATCATGGATGGGGAGGGTTCATACTCTTTGGCCCTGTCAATCTGAAGGACGAAATGTTCCCTGCTCTTAACCGGATGCTCACCTGTTGGATCTGACCCAGTGTGAGGTCATGGGTTGCCCAACCAGCCGTCCAGAGCCTGACTTGGCTTGAGAATTATCCAGACCAGGGCTGGGAGAAGTCAGGGGCTTGGCGGGTGCCAGATATGCCTGACCCCATCAGGGAGTCGTGCGAAGCTCATGATCTGTGGGCCCCGTGAGCCAGAGACTTCTGTTTCTCTGTGCGCCAAGCTTTTTGCTCATAAGAGCCTCGGAATCAGGACCCAGAATAGAGCTGGTCACCACTCTGACTTGAAATAAAGACATGCCGTGGGCTGGCTGTGTGGATTTCCCAGAAGAGGTGAGAGCCCAGCTGTGTTTTTCTGGTCACACATTGATTTTCTAACCTGAGTCAGCATGACTGCTTGGAGGCATAGGCAACCGGGCTGAAGCACTTCCCAAACAGGGCCTGGAATGGTGAGGGGACCAGGAGGGGTGGAGACATCACACCCCCTGCCCCACCAGTAACCACCTGAAGAGCCCGCCCGGCTCAGCCTCACTGTATTATTTACACCCAGAAGGACCGAGTTCTTACCAAATACCAGGCACTGTGCTAAGCACTTCATAAGTATTCACCCAACTAACCTCGCAAAGACTCTATTGGAGAGGGGCTCTCACAAGTAACACTTGACAGGTGAGAAAACTGAGACCCAGGGAGACAAAATCACATAGAAACAGTCACTCGAAGATGGAGTTGCTGGTCCGTGACTGTGGACCCAGAGTCAGATCCGGCAGCGCTTTGGAGATTCACATCACTCAGCCTTCACAACAAGCCAGTTAGGTAGGTATTGTCACCTCCACAAAGATATGAGAAAGCTGAGGCTCAGGGAGGTGGATGTGACTTGTACAATGTTTCTAGAAGGTTCTGCTGTGACAGCTAGTGATCACTTTTCAAGAGCACAGTCCAAAGTTCACAACTGATAAAATTGGGCCGCGGTCACTCAAAACCCCTGTATGGGGGGCTTCCCTGGTGGTGCAGTGGTTGAGAGTCCACCTGCCGATGCAGGGGACACGGGTTCGTGCCCCGGTCCGGGAAGATCCCACACGCCGCGGAGCGGCTGGGCCCGTGAGCCATGGCCGCTGAGCCTGCGCATCCGGAGCCTGTGCTCCGCGGCGGCAGAGGCCACAGCAGTGAGAGGCCCGCGTACCGCAAAAAAAAAACAAACCCTGTATGTATGATTACTTCCACTTTCACCCACGTTTTCCTATGATGGGAAGAGGAGCATGGGCTCGTTTGGGGGCCATCTTTTGGGAAGGGTAGAATGGGGTAATGGGTGCTCTTCTGGAGGAGGTGACTATTTGGAGAGGCTAACATGTGACCCCTGTGGGGGCCTTGTGGTCCGATGTGAGCAGAGACATCTAGAGGCTGGGAGAAATGGGCTGCCCAGCTGCACTGGTGAAGAAGCCAGAGAGTGTGGGTGTGCTGAGGTCAGGCCACACGCCCAGGTGCTTCAGGACAAAGTGCGCTTGAGTATTTCCCATGGACCAGCATGGGCAGAGAGCACATATAAGGGGCCATCTTGGGCCCTGTCCCATAGGACCTTCAGCAAGAAGCTAGAATTCGATGTTAGATGCCTACGGGCTGAGGAAGGAGTTGCTAGGGACTCCCAGGAAGAGACCCCCTTGCATCGATCAAGGTCAAGAAGGGCTGGCACAATGGCCATTTCCATGAGCCCGCAACAGCGTCCCATGACAGAAAGGGGCAGCTTTAAATGTCTGCTGGGCACAGAGAGCTCAGAGCCAGCCAGGATGGCGGCAGGTCAAGCGAGACCCTCCTCTCCTTTCCCTGTCTCTACCCAGCCCCCTTGGCCCCATGTGTGGAAGGGGGGAGGAATAGGAGAGGCGCTACCCCTGCTACCGTCTCCGGGGCAGCAGTGGGGCTGCCAGCCTGAAGCAGTACCAGGCGGGGCCAGGGGAGGAGGTCTAAACCCAAATCAGGCTGGGAGTTTTGCTTAGTAGCTTGACTGGACATTCTGACTGCTGAATTGATATTGTGTTTGTGACCTAAAGTGACCATAGCACTGTCTGTTTCTAGAGAGTGAGCAGAAAAGTAATGGGGATGGATTTTCACCTAGCGGTGGGGAAAAGTCTCTCCACTGAATACATTTTAAAAGGGACATTGGAAGGCAAAAATAAAAGTGTGTTTTGATCATGCCACAGGTAAGGTTTGTTCAACATACTGGTCGCAGCAAGATGGAGAATTATCCAAAACAAGCCTGCGAAGTGAATGTTACAGAATGCCCTAGAGCTTGGTTCATTAGGCAGGCAAGAAGTGTGAGTGCTTCTGGGAACCTCTTGGGTCCTTTATGGGGCCAGCATGCCCATCCCCCCCAGATGCTTCAGTTGTTGGCTTCTAATGGCCTACTGTTTCTTCTCCTGAGAACTGTGTCAGGAGTCACCTCACCCGCAGAGTAACTCACAGCCAATGACTAGCTGGTACCGAGGGACAGGAGCGAAAGACCAGCCCCCTCGCAAGACTTCACCTGAGACCACATCCCTGCTCCGTTCCCTCCCTATCCGCTTCCCTCCCTCCCTTATAGGTTCCTTGTTTAATAAACCAAAGTACCCAACCCTGCCTCAGGCTCCACTTCCAGGGAACCTGCCTGAAGACAGGCGGAGCCTCAGGACATGCTTTTTTTTTGCCTCGCTGTGGCATGCAGGGTCTTAGTTCCCCAACCAGGGATCAACCCGTGCCCCCGGAAGTGGAAGCACGGGATCTTAACCACTGGACCACCAGGGAAGTCCAGGGCATGCTTTTGAGATAGGGCCATCTTACTAGTTCTGAGCCAGGTCCTCCATTAGCAAGGCTTCTGGACCTCAGATCGGACTGACCTAGGTTCAAAACCGAGCACAATCACTTAACTGCTGTGTGACCTTGGCCGATGTCTGGTTACTACACCTTAGTTTTCCTCATCTGTAAAACGGAAAAAAACAACCACCACCTCACACAGCTTTATAAGGATCAAACCTACGCAAGCACCAAGCATAGTGCCTGGCACCATCAATGTCTCTATTATTATTCCTCCAGGCTAGCAGCACTGACCCCACGCAAAGGAGGCAGCCTTTACCATCTAGTTGAGGATGCTGTGTCCTGGGATAAGTCGCCAGACCATGGGATGGCTGGGGTTCAGTTGTAATAAAATAGCCACCTTTAATGAAGCACTTACTGTGTCCTAGTCTCCGTATGTCCTAGTTCACTGTATCTTCACTACCTTTCAAAGCGGACATGATTATCTCCATTTTATACATGAGAAAACAGAGGCTCAGGAAGTCTAAGAAACTGTTTATGGGGTCTACAGATTAAAAAAAAAAAACAACGAGTGCATCTAGAATGGCTAAAATTGAAAAGACTAACTAACTAGCAACTAGAACTCTCATACACTGCTGGTGGAAATGCAAGATAGTACAACTACTTTGTTGTACTATCTTGCACTACTTTGGAAAATAGTTTGCAGCAGTTTCTTAAAAAGTTAAACATACACTTACATGACCCAGCAATCATACTCCTAGGTATTTACCCAAGAGTAATGAAAATATTTGTGTACTCAAAGACATGTACCTGAATGTTCTTAGCAGCTTCTTTTATAATAGCCCAAAATACTGGGGAAAAATGTCCATCCACAGGGGAATGAGATAAACAAACTGTGATATATGTATTACTATATAATATATATATATATCACAGAATATATATGTGTATATATATAATTTAGCAATAAAAAAGAACAAACTGTTGCTATGTGAGCAATATGGATGAATCTCAAAATAGAATGAAAAACGTCAGACAAAAAAGTACAAACTGTATGAAGTCATTTCTATAAAATTCCAGAAAATTTAAAGTAATCTATAGTGAAAGAAAGTAATCTATGGTGACCATGGTTGCCTGTGAATGGGGATGCAGTGAGGAGGGGACGGCTTATAAAGGGGCCTTAGGAGAAAATTTTGGGGTGATGGAAATATTCCTCATCTTGATTGTGGTGGATGAGTTCATGGGTATGTGCAGATATCAAAATTCATCAAATTATACAATTTAAATAGGTGTCATTTATTGTATATCAATTATACTTCAATAATGCTGTTTAAAAAAAAAAATCTAGACACAATTAGGATTTGAACCCATCCATGTGTGTCTGATGTGAAATCACTTGAGCTGATAAGCCAGTAAAAGTCCTCCTTTCTGGGCTGGAGACATAGAACCGGTCCAAATGGTACCACCTCCAGGAAGCCTTCCTGTGCCCTCTAAGGAGAACTGTGGCCTTTTAGAAACCACATCCCCTGTGGCCTCAGCTCACACTGCCCTCTTACCTGCCTTCAGGATTTGTCAGTGGCTCCTTTCTCCATGTGGGAACCTTCCCTTGTGTCCTCCCCCATATTAGCCTCCTGGTTGAGAGCCCTGCGCCAGAATCAGATGGACCGGGGTTTGAATCCCAGCTCAGCCATTTACACCCACTGTCTGACCTTGGATAATTCCTTACCTCTTTGACCTTCAGCTTTTCCTCATCTGAATAATAATAGAAGCTACTTCAAGATTGCCTCAAGGATCAAGTGAGAGATAGTTCATGTTAAACAGCGTAGGGCCTGGTGTGTAATAAAGCGCTCAATAAATGTTAACTATTATTGATCTTCACCTGGGCAGTGGCTGCTGACTGTGGAAGTTTCTCAGGCTTTGAATCAAGTGCTTACCGCCCCAGCTATATTTATCGACACGGAAAGATGCCCAAAGCATACTCTTGAGAGGAGAAAAGCAGGTTATACAACAATATATGCCTCACAGGTCATTTTAAAGATTAAAGGGATAAAATGGACATATATCTCTTAGCACAGTGCCTGCACACGTGAAGGGCCCACTGAAAGCTAGCTGTGATTATTATTATTTTTTAACATCTTTATTGGAGTATAATTGCTTTACAATGTTGTGTTAATTTCTGGGCTTTCCTGGTGGCACAGTGGTTAAGAATCCTCCTGCCAATGCAGGGGACACTGGTTCGAGCCCTGGTCTGGGAAGATCCCACATGCCGCAGAGCGACTAAGCCTATGTGCCACAACTCCTGAGCCTGCGCTCTAGAGTCCACGAGCCACAATGGCTGAACCCCACGCGCCTAGAGCCCGTGCTCCACAACAAAGAGTAGCCCCCGCTCGTACCTAGAGAAAGCCCGTGCGAAACAACAAAGACCCAAAGCAAAACAAAACAAAAAAAAGTTGTTAGTTTCTGCTGTATAACAAAGTGAATCGGCGTTATGTATACACATATCCCCATATCCCCTCCGTCTTGCTCCTAGCTAGCTGTGATTATTAACGTGAAAGCATTTCTGTAGCTTGTCCAATGCTACTTTCAAATATTATCATGTGAGTTCCTGTAAAACAAGATGATGTTTGTCATAGCGCTTTGACAATGAGTCAGAGAGACAAGCCTGTGCATTCCCTTCTGCCCTCCTTCTGATGCAGTTCAGGGGGCTATTGTGGGCAGAGCTGGAGTTGGACTTGGGACACATTGGTCTCCTGTGGGTTCTGGTACTTCCTTATGTGGTCCTGGAACAAAAGGAAAGCAAAGCATTGCCCTTTGGAATTGAGACTCCAAGCTTGGATAAAGGCTGTTCTTTGCAGGAACTGAGGTGCTATGACAACGAATAGACACTTGAGGGCGCTCCCACCAATCTACAGTAGAGAAAATTACAGAAGGGGGTGATAATAATGCAGCTGTTACATTTAATAGTAGCTTCTGTTTACTGAGTTCTTACTACGAGCTCTTAAAATGTGCTAAGAGACTCACAAACTTTATTTCATTTTATCCTTCCAAGCACCCCATCAGTTAGATACTATTACCAAAGATTTTAAAGATAGGGTGTATTGCTCTTTAGAATTTAAAACATATTTTTATGGAGTCACAATTCACAACTTTTATAAACTGTGCAAACACTAAGCGTACAGCTTGATAAATTGTTGAAAGCGTACACACACAGGTAACGCACACACACATCAAGATAGAAAACTTTTCTAACACCCTTTCCATTCACCCCCGCTCTCACCCAAGGCAACCGCTATCCTGACTTCTATCACCATTTATTCATTTTGCTTGTTTTTGAACTTCGTGTAAATCATATCATACATATACAATGCTTTGCGTTGCGAGGTCTAACGCATAAAAATCCAGGACATCAGTTAAATTTGAATTTCCCGTGGGACATATTTATGCTAAAAAAGAATTCTTTATCTGAAATTCAAATTTAACTGAACATCCTATATTTTATCAGGCTACTCTAGTAGTCCTTTTTTTTTTTTCTAGTAATCTTTTGTCCCTGGTTCCTTTTAACATAGTTGTGAGGTTCTCCCACGTTGTTTTGGTTATCGGCAACTTACTCTTTTTCACTGCTGTGTAGTATTCCATCCCATGACTATATCGCAATATATTTATTCTTTGTACTGTTGAGGGGAAGGGAAGGTTACTCTTAGAAAGGCAGCCTAGATAGTGCTAAGCAGTGCACTCTGGCATCAGGTGCCTAAGGGACTTGAATCCTAGCTCCACCTCTTCCTACTTGTGAGACCTTAGCCAAGTGACTTAATCTCTCTGTGCTTCAGCTGGTTTGACTTTAATGTGGGCTAATAATAGTACCTTGAAGGTTGTTGTAAGGTTTAAAGGAGATATTACATATATGTCTCTTAGAATAGGGCTCGGTACAGAGTTAGCACCTGATGAATGTTGCCAGTGTCATGGTACCCGTTAGACCTAGGACAAAATTGAAGTTCAGAGGCATTAAGAGACTTGCTGAAAGTCACATATCTGGTAAGTCATGGAGCCCTTTTGTCATCAATATTGGCTAAATTAAAGTCATTCACTCAACTTTTTTTTTTTTTTTTTGAGCACCTGCTATGCACCGGGCACTGTTTAAGGCCTTGAAGTGGCACAATGAGCAAAACAGCCAAAGCCCCTGCCATTATAAAATATACATTCTCTGGGCGCTCAAGTTGCTGTTTCCCTGCTATGTGCTTTACCTGGGCTTCTCATTAGTTACTTGAAATAATGTCTGAAAGGCACTTAGCATGGAGCCCCACAGGCATTACTGTTCCAGAAACAACAGCTCTTAGCCAGATAGTAGCAATCTCTATGGCAACAGTGTGTGATGGGCTCAGCAGCCCCATTTTACAGATGAGAAAACTGATGCTTGGAGAGGTTAAGGGACTGGCTTGAGGTGACACAGCTAGTACTGGCAGAACAGGAATTCAACCTGTCCACCTGACTCCAAAACCCTCCTCGGTTCTCAATGCTTGTTTTTCTGTCTTGAGCTCTGCTCTGGAGTGCAGATGTTAGAGGTTCAAGTCCCAGCTTTGTGACTCCAGGCAAGTTATTTGCTGCCTGTGAGCTCTAGTTTCCACACCTCTACACAGGATTGCCTTGGGGATCTACAGAAAGCTCTTGGGGCAGATACAGGCAGAGAACAAACAGACACTAGTGGAGATCTAGCGTCAGGAGGGGGCTTTTGAATGTGTAAGCTGCTCAACCCTTAAATCAAAAACCTTCCTTACAGGGAATTCCCTGGCAGTCCAGTGGTTAGGACTCTGTGCTTCCACTGCAGAGGGCACAAGTTGACCACTGGTCGGGGAACTAAGATCCACATGCCACGTGGTGCAGCCAATAAATAAATAAAGTTCTGATTACTGTAAAAAAACAAAAACAAAAAACAAAAGCCTTCCTTACATAAATGAGCTTAAACACATGGGAAGATGCCTAGAATATCTTATTGAGTATATTTAAAAATCCGGTTTGAAAACCACAAGCCGGTGTAACTCCTATGTATGGAGGATTCACTGAACAATCACTTAGGTAGCAGCACTTATTCTGTGTGGGTTCTGTCCTAGGTGCTCTGTAAGTAGTTTCTTCCTTTAGTGCTCCTAACAGCCCTGTGTGGCAGGTGCTGCCTTAGACAGTTGTGCAGGTGGAGAAACTGAGGCCGGAGAGAGTTAACACTCTCAAGGCTGCCTGGGTAGCTTGGAGCTGCCACCCAGACCACGACACTTTGGCCTCGGAGGCTGTGCTCTTGAACCCTTAGCTCTGTTAACTCTGCTACTGGTGGTTTTTTCTCTGGGTAGTAAAACTAAAGTGCTTTGAACTTTCTTCTTTGTGCTTCTCTGCATTATTTGAGCTTTTATGCTATGTAGATTTTGTTTTTCATGAAACAAAACAATACACTAGGGTTCTAAAGTGGGTTTTTGATGTCTTTAAGAATTAGCTGTGAATGCTTGTAGGGACAAGCCACTCCCAGTCTTTTTTGTGATGGGGAGACTGCAGTCCTTGGAGTTGGGGACTCACAGCCCAGCACTGATATCCCCCCACTCCAGGGCACTCTGTGACCCTGGGCAAGTCACGATGTCTAGTCACCACGTTCCTCCGACAAGGCTTGTAGCACAGAGTAGGCCTCAGTAAGCGTCCCCTGCTACAGGAGGAGCCGGTCACTGTACCCCCTGTATCTCGTTCCACCTCCAAAATCCGCTCCCTGCCTTCCCCCAGGGCCCCGAGAATTAGTGAATGAACCACGTCACTATAAAGTGCTAATAGTTTATAAGTTTTTAAAAACGCAAGTGGCAAGAGACACAAGCCACAGCCGGATGGATGACTAATGGGGACCCATGGGCTGGGGGGCGTGGCCGTCCAGGAGCCCCAGAAATCACTGCCCAGGCTGGCAGGGGAAGGGCTCAAGCCTCACCCCAGGAAGGGGTTGTTGGGAGTTTTCTGCCCGTGACCCCACTCATGACCCCAACTCCTATCACCCCAGCCTCAAAAAGGCTGGGCCCACAGAGCCATAAATTCCTGCTATCATTAGACAGTATCTCTACAGCTCAGGCTGTTTGCCAGGAGCCCTACAATTATTTTTATCACTTATGAGTCCTATAATTATTTTTTATCACTTTTTTCTCACAGCAGACTTGCAAGCAGGGCTAGTTTTGCTTTTTTTCGGTTTGGAGTTGGGGGAAACACAGCCCCCCGAGGGTGTCAGGGAATTTCCTGGCTTTGCCCAAAGCTCTAGAGTGGGTCAGGGTTTGAACTCACCCGCTCAGGGGCTGAGCTGGGGCTCTGTGTGAGGCCAGAAGTTTGGGAGAATCGGGAGGTGGAAACTGGGACCCATCGGGAGCCAGGGAAAGGCTTCAGGCTCGGCTACTTCTTGGCTGTGTGACCAGGGCAAGTCACTCAACTTCCCTGTGCCTCAGTTTCTTCATCAGTCAAATGAGGAAATAATAAAAATACCCAACTCATAAGTTAGTACATTTAAGTGCTCAAACACTGTGAGATTCTATTTGATCTTGAGTTGGGACCTAGATTTTAAATTGAGACCCTGGCTTCCTGGTTGACTTGGGCAAGTCCCTCGTCCTCTCTGAGCCTCAGATTCCTCATCTGTAAAATGGACATTATCTTGCTTGCCTCACACCTTGGCTCTCGCATCTCCAGTCCTATCAGCCTGACCTCCTTCAGGTCCTCAAACAGCCAACCGT